TGATAGTATTGTTGTGAATGTCCTAAATCTCTATGTAATTTCCTACACTCATATTTTTTGTGACCTGGAATGCCACAGTAGAAACATTTGTTGTTGTTTGAATAATTAGTATATGGTGTCTGGTAATTGGTTTGATAATTTTTCTGAAATGTATTGTTTTGCCATCTGGCAGGTAGGCTATGGTATCTTCTGTTTTGATATGTGTTTTGTTTTTGACTGTCCCTATCACTGGGTGTGTTTCTAATAGAAGCTAGTGTGCTGTTTCTATTGTCTAGCTCTTCATTGGGGTGAGCATCTTTAAATGTTGTGATTGAGTCAACTAACTCACGCTCATTTTTAATCTTTCTCTCTTTAAGGAATGAAAATAAAGAGACTGATGCATTTCTTAATATTTTGTCTATGATAAACATATCCAGTAATGCTTTTGGATCATTTAGGTCAATTTCAGTTAATTCAAGCCATTTGACAAGATTGTCTCTAATATTGAATATGGTGGTGTTAGGGTCTACTTCTCTCTCTAGTCTTATGTTGTGGAAATTTTTTCTATAAATGTCTTCTGTGTTCCCATAGAACTTTAACAAAACTTTCTTTATATAGTTATAATTATTCTTTTGTTCTTCACTGAGTGAATTAATAATACTTAGGCTTTTCCCTGATAATCTGCTCAATAAAATATTAGCCCAAGTCTCTTCTCTATAGTTGTAAGACTGACAGATGCCCTCAAATTGTGACAAATAACTAATAATTTCTTCTTTATGTTCATTAAATTCTCTAAATTTGGGTTTATATGTGCTATTGGTTTCTCTATTGCTTGTTGATGGTGTATGCTGTCCTGATTCTATTCTAGCTCTTTCTAGTTTTATTTCTTCCTCTCTTAATTTCATATCCTGTTCTCTTAATTTAAGTTCTTCTATTTCCTTTTGTCCTTTTAATTTTAGTTCTTCTATTTGTTTAAGGTCGCTTCTCTCTAACAGTCTAGCTTCTCGGTCTTTGTCTTTGTCTTGTTTTTCCCTAAGTTTGTCCATTTCTCGAGTTACGAAGTCAGCTAATTTCTCCTGCTTCAAGCCAAGCTTCTCACCTACTTCTAATA